GAGCCTCTGGAGCTGCGATCTCCTGGAATGCCGCCACCGCCGCCGTGCTCATTACCACTGTGGTCGGCCCAGGAATTACCAACGGGGACCGGGCTCGCCGAGGAAACAGTGAGGGATGCCTGAAACCAGACCAAGGCCTGTTTGAACCCTGTAATTAAGATTCTCCGCTGAGTGCTGATACTATGGAAGAAACCAAACGACTTTACAGCATGCCTTATTTCAGAGTCTGATGAGAAGCCAAAATCCATTCAGCAAAATGGATCCACTCTACATACTATGGGCTGCTGGAAGAAAAGTGCATCAATGTGGGGGAGCGGCAGAATAGAAAAAAAATGGAGTATTGTCTTACACAGCACGTCAGTGGAGTCAGATCTTAGCCTTAAGAAACAGTGTTGAGTTTGGAAACTCCACAGACACCAGCAAAACGCAGAGTGGAGGCTATGATAACATGAAGTTAATGTGAGCCATCGCTGTGAGACAGTTATATTAAAGGCTTAAACACTGTGAGCCTCTTTTATTTGTCAGTGCTCATTCAAATCAACACTGTCGAGCAGTGCAGCGTCTTGCAGCTTTCCAACAGACACAATACAGGGGTAATAAGCACCACACCAGCCTGCTCTCGGTCTCTGGAGGCCATATGCTGCCCAGACACAGCAGCAGTGTCACAGCCCAGCAACAACGTAAATAGAGAGGGCAAGAAGAGATGCTCCATTGTTCACCAGAGGCTGAAGGGCCGTCCGGGGATCACTGCACCTTGTCCCTCTGAGTCTGACGCCTCAGAGTGGACACTGGTGTCAGCACAGGCCACTGGCAGGAAGTAGGTTCAGCCTTTCACCCGTGGCCACAGCTAACACCAAAGAAACCTGGGTGACTCCAGGGGCATATCAACACAGAGGTGTTGTCTTTGGCACCACAGTAGCACTGCATGTCTGTCAACATGACGACCGTAGGGGGATTGTGTTTATTCTGCTGCAGTGGGCGCAAACCTCTGCAACCCTCAAGTCTGAAGACCCACATAAGTCCTAGAGTTTTTTATCTATTAAAGTGAAAGCAACCAATTAAATATTAATGGTAAAATACAGAACATGTTATCATTTGGCAAGAACCCAACACACATATTTAGTGATATTAACAATACAGATGGTAAATAACTTTTGTTTTACAGATCGTAAAAACAACAGTAGTTGTACTCAGATCTTT